GTCCTCCGCGTCAACACGGCAATGATGCCATCGGCCCCACCGGAGTATATACGGGAGCCGATCTTTCGCAGGGAGGCAACGCGACCACCGTGCGCGTGCAGCACGCGCAATGCCTCACACGTGTTCAGCTTCCAGGCAATAACTCGCCCGTCATTGTCACCCGACCACATCGTCACGCCAACACGGCACAGCGCAGAGACGCCCGCGCGACCGTGGAAGTGACCGGTCAACTGCGCCTCACCACTCCCCGCATCCCACACCCGCACGGTGCAGTCGTCGGAGCCGCTCACAACTGCGTTGCCCTCCGCGTACAGGCAACGAACGTAGTTGGTATGCCCGTGCAGCACCCGAATAAGTCTCCCGTCTTCTGCAACCCATTGCGCAATTTTAAAGTCGCTACCTCCAGAGTACACGTAGCCACCGAACTCCGAAAGGCAGTACACACCGCCAGCGTGCTTATTCATCTGCCGCACTAGAGCAAAGGACCGGGCGTCATACACCTCAACACTGCCGCTCGAGAGGCCCATCCAAACCTGCGGTCCCTTGCTTTGTGTTGTCACAGCAATCAGCGACCAAATGCGTGTCACAGAGGTTGGCCTTGGCGCACTTGCAAAGCGATGTAAGAGTCCGGCGGTAAGACCATCACGGACTTCCACCCCACCGTCTGCCATGGCAAGCCACACGGTGTCTGGTGTTACAGTCATTGCCACTACAGTTGAATTGAGAAAAATCTCTCTCCCTTGTGGCACAAGCGTCGTCATGCAATCCGGCGCTGTTGTTGACATCGTCGCCCAATTGTAATTTTATAACGTTATTGTCAGACTCTATGGTTAGGGAGGTTGAAAGGACCTATTTTCCTTCTCTTGATTCTCTGCCTGTCACGCACAGTCCTCTTCTCTTCAAACCAATAAAAGGGAAAAAACAACCGAAGACCCTGTCACTTCAACAGGAAAACAACAAACAATGCACCCACTTTAAACTTTATTGCCTCGTCTGCAGGTGGCTGGTCCTTGTGTCGACGGTTTCGCCTAAATTTCTTCCCTCACTCCTCCTTTTTTGGAATTATCTATACTCGTCCCGAGGGCTGAGGGTTCATTCCACTTCCCTGCGGCGGGCGGCCTGTCTCCAACGCCGTTGTGTACACTTCATCCCATTGCGGATCGTCTCGCGTGACACACTCCTTCCCCACCACAACCAGCACACGCACTGGGTCAACTACGATGAGTCCAACACGTCCACGGTGACACAACTCGGGGGCAATGAAATAACGTGTCTGTAGCAATGGCACCAGCCCTGCGGCGTCGCCGGACCTGGTCCAAGAAAGATCATTAAAAATAAAAAAGTCGTCAAGAATGCGGCGCATATGTAGGGTGGCTTTAAGTATTTGTTCCGCCTCGTAGCGACAGATGGCAAGCAGGGTGCCACGAAAGCGGCGTAATATGAGGTGATAAGAGGTTTGGGGCTCATTTCCTGAGGAGTGGCGTATCGGTCGACGTTTGGCACGGCGCAATGTTTGTAGTAAGGCAAAAAGCAACAGTCCATCCTCATCAGCCGTACAGTCCTGAACAACCATGCGAGACCAGGTGAAGTCTCCATGGTTAATGTTGTCACAAATGGTCAGGTACTCACTTGGAGTGTAAATGGAATCAACACGACGGCTCATGATTTGGTCACATCGGTTGCCATCGCTAGACGGCGTGCAGGTCCCAAGTAGAGACGTACTCCGTGGCGTAGGCCGCAGGACACGAATTCGCAACAGCGCCCACTCTTCCTCCTCATCACCCAAGGAAGACGGGTTATGATTCTCAGAGTTGTCATCACTCGCGTTAAAAATAAGCGGACAGGAAAAAATGCCAATAGACCTGTCGGGCTTTTCGCTTTCTCGAAAATGCCATTCCCTCCTTGCGTCAAGGGCGTACAGTTTGCGTTCAAGCTTCAGACGCTCATATGCGGTGCAGGAGGATAACTTCAGAAACTCCATGCACAGAAGTTGCCTGTCGCTGCGCAAGATGGTCATCTCACGTCGAAAGCGCTCGAGTTGGAAACGCCAAATGCTTTCCCGCCTGTGCAACTGCACCCAGAAGAAACGACATGTGCTGCTCAGCAGTTGAACGTCACGAAAGGTTAGAAACAGGGTGATGACGTCCCACACATCAAGAGGAAGAGCTTGGAGCGGCACGAGAAAGCCACCACGCGGATAATTCTCATCCCTTAATTCCTCCTGCGCCTCCATGTTGAGAAGATGGACAATGCAGTGTTGATTGACCTCGTCTTTTTCTTCATAACGACGTTCGGCTGCCATTTGCCTGCGTGCCTTCTCTGCCCACGATAAACGCGTCTCCTTCGCAGCCTCGTCCTTCCCAACAAGACCACCACGGCCGTCTTTCATTTCCGCCTGCGTCGCCCCCTCCCCTCTTTTCCTTTTGATCGCCCTGCTGGGACACACGCACACCGCCGACACTCGACAGTCAAGCCAAAATCATCCCCCAAAACAAAACAACCACACGACAACAACAACAATCAAAAAAAAAAAAAAAAAGGGAAGGAGATTACGGAGTCACCAACAACATTGAGAGATGTGGTACGACACAGCGGATAATCATCCGCTCTCCCCTTTACCCTTTCTTTGTTTTCGGTTCAGTAACACGACAGGCCTCGGCAGGCCTTCACCAGCAGCAACCAAGTAATGCAGTTACACCGCAGAATTGCCCTCGTTTTCTTTTCCCCCTCTCTCAAACTTCAAAATGTCTCTGGACAAAACAGGACTTCCCGCTGGGAGTTCTCGGCGTTCTCAACCGCGCATGCGAGTGATCCTCTCGGGATTACAGAGCAGAAGAAGAAGAAAAAGAAGAAAATCTGCAAAAAAAAAAAAAAAAAAAAGGACCCACCCGCATGTGTTTACGGGGTGGTTAAGCCTCAAGTGCTTTTTAATGGCCTTTTCATCCTTATGCGGCTCCTCCGTTAAATAAACCCCCACTCCTCATCCCCCAATAAATCCCGCAACGAAAATTTAACCTTCTTGCTCATACTGGATAGGCGAAGTGATTAATGAGATCCCGACCCATCAACATGGCCTGAGCGAAAAATTGAGAGAGAAAAAAAGAAATAATATGAGCGGATATATTTTTTTTTTTTTGTGGGTGGGGGAGGGAAAAATGCAGCTCGCGAGAGGCTTCTGGGCTTAGATGCGGTTGAATCCTGGAATGCCGGTTGGAGAGTCCTTGGGAGCTAACTGACGGCGTTTCAATGCGGCTGTGGGACGGTATCGGTTGGCTATATGCTGCCACTTGTACCACAACTGCCGGTACACACGGGGACGGAAAACACTGTTGATTTCGGTCGAATGTAAGCCGGCAGAATAAGGCACGGGAACGGAACGCTCTGCCTCAATGTTACGCACCGTCTCTTCTTCTAGTAATTTGTGCAGTTCCTTTGGTGGAGCCATTTGATCCCCACGTAGTTGAAGCGCGGCAAAGGTATAGGCCAAATCCTGCTTCTGGTTATCAACTGATAAAATTTCCCTCTTCAGTTCGCTGTCATGTGGCCGTCCCTTGTATACGTCGGCTTCCCACTTGTCCTCATAACCCTGCACCCCCTGCTCCGCAGCAAGACGGATGAGACAACTTGCCTCGCGTGGTCGCATATTGCGAATCAGACAGTCGTGGTAAAACTTTACCATCGTTGGATGCATGCGTCGATCCTCGCGCAACAGTTTTTCCAGTAATCGACTCGCCTGTTCCCATTTATTAAATCCAGGTATCACCATTGTGATGATCGCCGAGTTGTGCATTGTATCGGTGGAATCAAACCCATTCGCCTCACAAGCCTCCAGCGCTTCCATGGCAACACGCCAGTGCTGAATCTTTTCCAATCGATGATTGATTTTAAAGTCATAATTCCAACCATGATCCGCATTCGCCATGCCATTCACAATGTAATAATAAGTCGCACCGTTGGGTTGTACCCGATCCTCCTGCATTGCGCGTATCACCCGCACAATTTCTAGCGCCCGCCCCCACAGAGACTGGGAGAATAGGATTGTGTTATAGTGCTCTCGTGTCAACCGGTAGCCAACCATGCGGCCCTTTGACGCAAACATCATCGTCTTTTGCCATGACGTTGTTCGTGACATGCGACGAAGGACGCGAAGGAACTCCGTCGGGTCGCGTCGCACCGGATCAGTCATTCTTGACAAGGTGGCCCCCTTCCTTCTGTGATCGCGCTCATACAGTGGCGTTGTTGTGCGAACATATGGGGGACAGCAAACAGACACAAGAACCGCATGCGGAAAAGTACCAATAAACCGAAAAACAACAACAATAACAACAAAAACAGAACTGGAACGCAGCACAGTACAATAAAAAATACTCCTCCTCCTCCTCCCTCTCCCTCTCTCTCCCTCTCAAAGCTTCGACAGGAAGTAGCCTGGAACCGGTCCCAGCAAAGCCCAAAGGAGAAGGGGCTGTGGGTCTGCGAAAAAGGCGTTCACGTCTTTGCACGACTGTTTCCATGAGCGAAGCAGCGCCTCTACCTCTGCCGAGCGGTATGCGTGGCAGGACGGCGTGCTCATCACATGCTGGTGGAATTGCGTACTGGGACTACAGAACAGCGACGAGGGGAATTTTGTCTGCATCACGTGGTGAAGCTTCTGTCGATTTTTCCACTTCATTTCCTTGTAGAGCGGAAGAAACAGGGCGTGGTGTGAGAGTGCGGTGCTCTGAGGGCAGTCGGGAAGAACAATGATTTCACGCAGCGTCGGCACCACTCGTTTCCGTTCTCGGCTCGTCTTGTCACGACTGTCCCAGACGCAAGTGACGGCAGAGACAGCGTCAAAGCCCGCCGTGCGTAACGCCTGTGCGGCCAAATCGGGTGATTGGACACGAAGTAACAAACTGTCGGAGTGACTTGCCACGCAAAGCCGCGGCGTCGTCGGCTCCCCAGCCGAGACAACTTCCACGTTGTTACGCAGGTGGCTGAGGAATTCCCAGAGAGAAACGCAGTCCGCCTCAACGCGTCTTCGCATTGACTTGATGGCGTCCATCATCCACAGAAGAAGCCCGCGGTGGGGCTGAGAAAAGGCAGAGACGAGAGAACGATCACCTGCAGTCACCCCTGAACGGATTGAGTCATTGTCGTTATTCTTCTTGTAACAGCGGCTTTCACTGCGCTGTCGACCGGTTTCGCAACTCCTGGCGCCGCCATAAACACATTCCGCTTCTGAGGACATGAGAAACTCAAAGATGCGGTTGGCCCGCGCGAGTGTGCCGCTCACTCTCACCGCTCTGTCCGCCTGCATCCCTCCCGCGGTGTGATGCTTTTTCTTTGTCCGGGAATTCTGTGCCACAAGAGCCCACAAGTGCATTACCAATAGCGCAAGTTGAAAGCTCATGCCGTCTGACACCATCAGGTGGGAGATGTGACGCGCAAGTGAAACCCACCGCCTTCGCCCAGAAGCCAAAGGCCGCTCTTCCAGGCACACCGAAATACCGTTTGCAATCAGCGGGTCCATGGTAAATGCGATCGCGCCACCCATTTCTCCGGCCGTGTCCATAGAAGTAATGTGCAGATCAGCCCCACCAGTCTTGTGATTCTCCGGCCATAAGGACATCGCAGTGACAGGATGCAGCTCTATCGTCACTCCACGGAACTCGTTACGCGCGATCTGCACAATTTTTTCGGCATTCGTCACAAAGCGCGCACCAATCCCTATAAGCAAGACAATTCCAGGGCACTCCCTACTACAATTATCACCTTTTTTTATTGCGCCTTTGTTCCAGTGGTCACGGTGGCAAATATTCCGCATTTTCCTTCGGAACTCCTCTTCTTCCACACACATCGTCACATATTCAACATCGTAACCAATGACACGCAGCTTCCACGCGTCAAACAGCTCTAGCAATTGGTAGTGTGGGTACAACAACATGCCTGGAAGGAGGACAGGCGTTCCTTCTGAAGGGCGCAAATACCTCAATGCTGCCTCCATCATACCGACGGTACTGTCGCTTACAAGGGGCACTTGGCTACAAGGATATATATGCCGAGCAAGGCGCACATTCAAGGGAATGTCCTTGTGTTTGTAATTCTGCATTTTATCCTTGTTCGTAGCATCCCATGACGATAAAGCACGAGAAAAGACACCGCAAAGCTGCTGAGGCAACACCAGCCCAATACCTCCCATCGCATGGTAACATGCAAGAAGGGAGGAGTGGGCGCGTGCCCGCGGGTAGAAATAATGCCACGGTCTGCTGCTGCGCTGCAACAGCCTCTCTACCTCACTCTCTTCATTATCACTAGAGACCTTCATTGAATTGTCCCCACTGTGGGTATCCTTTTTAGGCCCATGAGACGCCATTCATTTGCGGTTATATATATATATATATTTATTTATTTATGACTTTTCCCATTGCCACAAAGAAGGCAGGAAAAAAAAAAGTAACAAGAAGGTAGTCGGTGCAGTGTTACTATCATCACCAGCAGCATGCTTCATCCATTTTTTTTTTCTTTTTTTTGAGGGAGATCTTCACCCTTTTTTCTCTTTTGAGTTTCTGCATCGACACACGTACATAAATATATATATATATGTATAGAGAGAGAGAGAGAAAGAGAGAATTGTGTGTTTGGCGTGTGCACCCATCCATACTTACATGAAGTTTCTGCCACCACCTCGATCAAGCGGGAAGCACCTCCCATCATGGCACCCAGTCGCACATGAGAAGAGAAAAGAAAACACGCTCCAGAAAGAGATCCCAATTTGGCTCACACTGAAAATACTGTTTTATTTATTTTTATATTTTTTTTTATGTGGCTGCTTGGGAGTCACCATTTTCGTTGCTTTCCTTTCCAGTCAGAATGGTGGGGATGACCACACCTTGTGCATTTGTACGCTCGGTCTCCGATTTAATGCGTTGCGTCAGTTGGCGGTTTGCTCGACGGTAGTAACCTAATTCATCCTGTCGCAGCTTGCTGCGGGTATTATTCTCCTGTTCAATGGCACGTAAAATCTGCTCTTCCCGCACCTGCACTGCCTTTTTCCTCACAATTAATTCCAATCGCTTCTCTTCCAATTCATGGATGCGCCGCTTCAGTTCATCCATGCCTTCACCGGCTTCTTCTCGCTGCTTTGAGGCAAAATACATGGCTCGCTCTGCAAGAGAGCTATGGGCTGCTAATGTCTGGTACAACTCGTCCCGAATACGCAGGAGCAGGATGCCTCGTGTCGGTTCCTCCAGCGTTATCTGTCTAATAAGTTCATCAAAAACTTCTGCATACACTTCACGTCTAATTGGGCATATGCCACTCTCCCGAGCACGCCGCTGCCGTAGTCGTTCAGTTAGCCGTTCATGCAGGTCCGCCACTTCCACACGAGATGACGGTTCGGTAGAGACACACTGTAGGATTGTATTTCCAGTCTCCTTACACACGGTACGCTTCGGGGGAAGCAATGTATAAAGGACTCGCTCCACATCAGACAAGTTCTTCATGAGAGCTGGAAGAACAGCACCTCCTGGGTACGCAACAGTGCCTTTCTTATTAAACTCCTCCACGAGAACAGCTTTCTCCGCAGCAGGCGAGATGCTACCGGATGGAACTGCAAGCGTCCGCCATGTGGACTCTGTCTCATTCAAAAACGGTGTGGCAGCAGCGAAGGGTTGCACCGAATGATATGAAGTCTTTGTGGCGGTGCACTCTCGCACCACAGAAGCAGAAACTGCCGTGTTTGTTGTTAAAACCCCGTTGCTCCCACCCGCACGCAGCACGTCACTTGCGGCATTTTTCCGGGCATCTGCAAGCCTCGAGGCGGGAATGGACAAGGCGCGCCTGGGCGACTCAACACCATTACCACTGGTGGTGCCAACGACGACTTGCGGCTGCAACTTCAGCAAAGACTCCGTCATTGACGTGTGGCCTGCCTCCTCCAAAACACGGCAAAAAAATAAAGAAAGAGAGAGAAGACACGCAAAAAATGAGGAGAACAAACACAACCACCCACCGTAACCCACAACCAATTAAAAAAAAAAAAAAATCAACATTCCACCATGGCACAACGCCAATTATGGAAAAATGTTCATTTCAACGTGCCACTTCAAAATGAAATTGCGGTCCCTGTACATGTTGCAACCCCCCCAACACCTCTAGCTTTTATATACATAGGTTTCCTTCCATCATTTTTTCTTCTTCTTCTTATTCCCATTTCTAAACTTCTCCGGTCTCAAGAGGCACTCTGCACTGTACGAATAATTCCGTAGGAAACTAATGGGTTTATTCGTCGCTGTTCTTCTTTTTTTTTCCAGATCCCAAGCAATGGAGCAACTTCTTTTGGTGACACCGCCTCACATAAAAACATGTCCTCTGCCAAGTTTCCGTCATCAATGTAGTCGTGAAGTGTGACTCCGATAGTAAGGAGCGATTTGATGGCGCCTGTGTTGCCAACGCGCAGTGCATACTCCATTGCAGGCACCGCCACTTCTTTCAGCGGATTTGCACAGACCGTCACGACGCGACAGCGAATCATCAGATAACGCAAAAGAATTATATTTTGCTGAGGTCCACTGAAAAGAGCGATATAAAGCGTTTCAGGGGTAAGATATGACCGTGGTGCCAACGCGAGAGATTCAAACGTCAACCGCACATGCTCTTCCGCTTGAAGGCAGTCGTCACTGTACTCAGATAGATTCACATTGCCAGAGACTGCACGGCGTGGTGAACTCCATGTGGGTTTCTCCAAAGTCTTCTGCAAGAAGGAATCCACGCCCCCCACGGCCAAATACCGAGGGTGAGATTTGATCAAAGCGACTCGGGACGGAGAGTGTGCTGAATTCCACATTTGCTGCAATGTGGAGGAATATGCCTTGCGACGTTCCATCATCTTATCCAAGAGAAGCAACGCACGACCCTTGGCAATTGTAGCCTCGTCATATTGCTTCTCAAGGGTACGATAGTAAAGTTCATTCCAGAATGTGTCGAGAAACAATTCAAGGTGATTCCTTACGATCAAATCGCGGTCCAGTGTCCATGCATACACAAGGTCACCAAAGGGAGAGCGGTCGTGTGGTCCCAATACAGCAAATAATGGTGTCATGGAGAGTAAAATTTTGAGAGAAGAGAGGTTTTTGAAGCGTAACAAACAAAGATAAAGGAGACGGAAATAACCAGACTCCATCGTTTCTTTTGAGGTACGAACTTTCTCGGCTTTTTTCCGTAGGAGATATTCAAAGAGTTCATGATGCCCGTCAGAAAGGCCAATCAACAAGTGGGTGCTTGGTCGTACCAGAACGGATCCGCTTCTACTTCCCCTTTCAGAACAGGGCAAGCTGCGCCTCGTCGGTGTACTCGTCATGACAAGTAGAAGCATGACAAGATCACTTTGGTACAGTTTCTGCATCCGAGGTTGAGTCGCAACGCCCTCGTTGGCTCCTGCAGTTGACTCCGGGAGAAGTGAAAAGGATGCTGACACAAGCGGGTCCTTTCGAGGCCTGCCATCCTCCACACGTTGCGGAAGGACATGACCAACACACTCCACGAGTGTAAATTCGGATGGGGAATTTCCCTTTGCTTCACGTTTCATGCGGCGGCGTATTTCAACTACAACGGCGAGTAGAAAAGGAGAAAGAACAAATCTTGGCCCATCCTCATGTGGTGTGCGTTGCAGAAATGCGGCAATTGCGGCAGCAACGCCAGGAGCTGTTTTCTTTGTTCTCTCTTCGTCTTCCTCCTCTTCGTCTTCTTCCTTTTCTTCCTCCTCGTCTTCTTCATTGTACGGCGCATCAAGACCACCCTTGTTTGCGGGATTGAAGCGACTGTTTAATATAGCATCGACGCCCATAGAAGAATTAGATCCCCATGCGAGAAGAAGTTCCTTTGGTATCTCCAAAAGAAGCCACAATAGGAGTCGAATTCCAACAACGGAGCTTAGATGTCGCAGAAGAATACGCCTCGAAGGCAACGTGCGCACTTTCAGCATCGCTTCCATCGTCTCAATACATCTTCTTTCCCCTGCGAAGGAAACTTCTTCCTTGTCATTCGTGGTTCGTTGATCGAATGAAGTGCTATTGATTTGTAGCTTCGGGTAGGCGGGGATACGGTGGTTGAGGTATGATGCCGTAAAGAAAAGGTTAAAGTCCATCGCAGCACCGGGTAATTCATACGGCAAACGCGAATCTCTCGTCGCATACACAGATAACATCATACGGTGAATGGCAGTAAAGATTGGCATCGCGGCAAAAAGGTCCATGCGCAGCCAATGCTCTACACAAGTGAGTGAAACAGGCTCCCGCTGTGAGAGACAACAACGCAGTGCAGTGGGACTTTGTAGGGCGGCAAGCATCAGCGCATCAATGCAAATGACGGAATCCATGTCCAGGTTCCGTGCGCTTGGCACAGCATCCTCATCTTCTTCCTCTTCCTCCTCATCTTCCTCTTGGTTAAACCCCATCTTAAGACCTTCTTTCATTTCCTTTTCCTCCTCCTCATCCTCCTCATCATCATCATCTTCTTCTTCTTCCTCTTCCTCTCCTTCTTCCTCCTTCTCATCCTTCGATGTCGCGTTGCTCCGTTTTGCTGAACCGCCCCCTACATTGTTGCCCCTTCGATGGCGCTGCTGCGGAATTGTGTCAAGCAAGTACCACCGCTGCCCATCCGCAGAACGCACCAAAAAAAATACGCGATGTGCGTCGGTGAAGCGCAGTACCAGTTGCATGGGAGGCGCTGGGTTCCTTAAGCCGCTTTCTTTGGAATGGGGCGTGGAGGTGCTGTCTAAGCCATCCGTTTCCCTCCTCGAGAAGGCCGCACTGACGGTGGAGGTTGACCGGGAGTTAGGCACCCCTCTGCTAGGCGTATCGACAATTATCGATACGCTCCTATGCTCTTTCGCCGCCGCCTCTTCCTTCGCTCCTCTTCCCATCTCATTGCTTTTCACCACATCCGGCTTCTTTTCTCCCTTCTCTTCCTCCTCCTCCTCTTCCTCCTCTTCTTCTTCTTCTTCTTCTTTGGCTTCCACTTCCTCCAAATCGTCATGAGACACGGTCCTCGATGTCTCCTGCTGCATGTTCTCTTTTTTGTCATCAGTCGTCAGTGGCTGTGGGGGTGCGGTGTAGCCGTACATAAGCTGCAAGGTGCGTTCCCAGTGCAAGGTGTCATCGCTAAGCAAATGCGGCAGCCACGGTGGGCAAAATTGCTGGTTGCGCTGGATTCTACCGTTTTCTTCCTCTTCCACCCCTTCGTCCATCTGTTCCTCATCTTCCTCGCTTTCTTCAGCATGTTCTTCATGCAGTTCCGACTTCTTCGTGGGGTTTAGGGGCGGCTCGGGTGAAAGTCGGACGCTCACGGTGATTTTCTCCGCGCCATGACCGGGCAGCAGCAGTTGAATCTCCCGCACGGCTGGCTTGCGTGGTGGCAAACCGTCATCCTCGCCTGCCTGCTCTTTTTTCTTCGCCTTCTTGTCATCTGCACCGCCATCTTCACTCCCCTCCGCATCGTCCTTCCTGCCTTTGTGTTTCAGACTCGCTTTCCTGTCACCCAAACCTTCCTCGCCTTCCTCTGCCTCTTCCTCTTCCTCCTCTTCCTCCTCCTCCTCCTCCTCCTCCTCGCTGTATGGCTTCTCCTGCCTCCTGCTCATCCCTCCTCCCCCTCCCGCTGTATCCTCGCGTCACACAGACACACAGAAAAAAGAAAAAGAAGAGAAGATAGAAAAAGAAGATGAAGGCAGCATGCCGAAAAAAGGAACACCGTCCGGTCATCACGGCACGGTGGCAGGAGCAACGCTCAAAAGTCATGGACACAGACGTATCAAAAGACTATGGAGTTCAGAAAACCTTAATTCTTTGCTTTGCCGCACCACAACCTCCAGGCAGATGATATCCTTCTTTCGATCACCGTCAAACATGAAATAATCCATAAATGTGGAGTACACACTCGCATATATACACTGAGGTGTGTAAACAAGTACCTTTCCCTACAAACACACCAATCAACCAAATAATCCAAAAAAACAGCAAAAAAAGAAAAAAAAAGAAAAATGACAATACAAACAAACAAAAGCGTTCTGTCTATTCGTTGCTTCTGCCAGTGCGCACATAACAACAACAACAAAAAAAGGAAATGTGCACCATGCACCTCATCTCAGCCTCAAACCTCCACAAATAAGACCTCCATCGCAAGAAGGACGCATGCCGTTATGCCATATTTCATAATCATATGCAGCTGCTGATCCTGCACGTAATCTTTCCCCGTAATTTCCATGGTGTAAATGACGTGCTTCGAGCCGATGACCACCACATTGTACGCCAACACAACCAGCATTACAGTGCCCAGCGGGGAGTAAAGGAGTGTGCTAAGGGAGGCACACCCTTGCACCTGCAGCGAGTGCGTGGCGAGATTTGAAAAAAGCTGTCCAAAGTCCCGTCTGTCACAACGCAACGCATGCGCATTGCTGCCGCAGCCGGGGTGTCGTGCCACCAGCGCGGACCTCAGCGCCGTGGTCCTCCCCAGCAGCGCCCGACGAGCAAACATTTATTTAATCCACTTTTCTCCCCTTTTCTCTCGTTCTCTCTTGTTTTACTCCGTCTTTTTCTACAGCTTAAATATCCCTGATGCCTCCGTGCGTGTTGTTCCTTCGCCGTGTGAAGCCCAAACAATCGTAGCAGCAAGCAAGTAAGCAAGCAGCCAGACAAAGCAACAACAACAACAACAACACGCAAACACGCAAACACACAAAAAAAAAAAAAAAAAAAAAGAAAAAAAGGGGAAAAAGACAGATTTCACAAGACAACAACTGTCGTCTACCACCGAGATGCGCATTGCAGACACGTACACACAGACAAACACACACACACGGGGCGGTCCATGCATCCATCCGCACGTACGCTTCCAATGGAGGAGGCGCAAGTGCTACGCATATCATTTGTTAACATGAGGGAAGGTGAATGCAGTGTTTTTCATCTCATCTCTCCATTCCCCGTCTTCTCTAGACAATCAAAAGAACAAACACACACGAAAAATACGGCGGTGATGCAGCAATGACTGAATTGATTGGTGTCAATATGAAAAAAACAAAAAACAAAAAACAAAAACAAAAGAAAAGGAGGAGGAGGAGGAGAAGGCGGCCGGCAGACAAAAAAACAAAAACAAAAACAAAAACAAAAACAAAACAAAACAAAAAGTGGCCTCCTCATTTTCCCCCGCCCGCATTCAACACAAAAACAAAAAACAAAAAACAAAAATGCGGGGCCTTCTTTTCCTTTTTTTCTGGGGATTTTCCTTTTTTTTTTTTTTTTCTTTAAATCCCAAAAAATATATATTTTTTTCTTCCTTAAAATATTTCCCTCTTTTCCTTTTTTTTTTCTTTTTTTTCTTTCGTTCGATTAAAAATAAATTTTTATTTTTTATTGCCACTTCTTCTCTTCTCTTCTCTTCTCTTCTCCTCCCAGCATTAACGTTGTTGTTGTTGTTGTTGGATACATGCGTGCTTCGTACATTTACATTCGTACATCTTCTCTTCCCCCTCCCCCTCCTCCTCCTCCTCAGGCGTGGTTGGTGGCGGGGGGGAAACAAAAACAAAAACAAAAAAAAAAAAAAAAAAAACAGCAGTTCGTCTTTTTTTCTTTTCTTTTAATTTCTTTTCTACTTTTGGTTCCGCGTTTTTTTTTTCTTCTTCTTTTGTGTATGTGCGTGTTTGTGTGCCTTTTCGCGGGATGGGAGGGAACTCATAAACACAAACAAACAGACGGGCAGGCAGACGGGCAGGCAAATGCGTGCTTGTGATTTCTTCTTCTTCTCCCCCCTTTCCCCTCTCCGCAGTTGCCGGCGTATTCCCCCCCCCATTTTTCTTCCGTCCAATTTATTTTTTATTTTTTATTATTGTTTCCCCCTCTCACTCTCTCTCTCTCTCTCGTTTTCTATTGTCGTTGTCTGTACATTGGGGGGGGGGGAGATAAAAATATGAAATAAATAAATACATACATACATATATATATATATATGGTGCAATTATAGAAGTATATATATGTATATATGTATATATGAATGTGTATGTGTATGTATGTATGAGTGAGTATTGTGGGTAAATGAGTGAATGTTTCTTCTTCCCCATGCATAAAAATTACAGTGTATATTTAAATCATCTTGCCCTCTACACATTACAACTCTTCACCAACTTTTGTTTACATCATATTCACTCATCTCTATTTCACCTCTTCTTTCCTTCTCTCCCTCCTTCTCTCTCTCTCTCTCTCTGCATTGCATTGCAGGGTATGCACGTACGTACACGGTGCAAGACATATGTATACGTTTACATACACACATAAAATGTACATTGCATGGATGTATGTGGGATTATTGTAAGAGCGTTTAAAAAGGATATCAAACACACACACACACACAGAGAGAAAAAAGAGAAAAAAGAGAAAGAAAGAAAAAAGGAAAGGAATAGGAGCTTTTATACATCGTAATTGTGCATCGGCTTTCATCATACCATCCAATTGCACAAAACAACACAACACGGAATATATATATATATGTATATATGTAAGTATAAGCATACACATACATACACGCATACCCAAATATATATAAATATATAAATATTTATTTGCATACACGAGAAAAAAAAAAAAAAAAGAAAACAAAACGAAAAAAAAAAAAAAAAAAAAAAAAGAAGAAGAAACAGAGAAAACGTACGCACACACACACACACACACACAGAAACACACAAAGAAGCACAGTCAAAAAAACAAAACAAAAAAAAAACAAGAAACAAAAAACACCGCAAGGAAAACCAAAGCCAATCGCCTCTTCTTCTAATTAATTTTCATTCATTTTTTTTTTTTTTGACTACAAAGCAAACAACAACAAGGGGGGGTGAATCTACACACATGCACACAATTACACAAGCAGGGAAATAAGAGGATCCAATAATAAAAAGAAGAAGAAAAGGGGGGAAAAACAAACAAACAAACAAACAAACAAAAAAAAAAAAAAAAAAAAAAGAAAAAACTAAACCAACGCGTCATTCATCCACACATGCCGCTTCCGTTTCTTACGCTGCTTGCTGTATTTCCCCTTCCCTTTTCTTCTTCCTTCTCTATTGTGCTTGTTTGCCCATGCACCGGGCATGCGTGTTGTTGTTGTCCCTGCGGAAGGGGGGGGGGGGGGGGGGGGGGGGGGCCCCCCCCCCCCCCCCCCCCCCCCCGGGGGGGAAAAACCAAAAAAAAGGGGAAAAAAATAAAACCCCCCCCCTTTTTCTTT